TTTTTTAATTCAGCTTATATGTAACTTATAAATATTGTTTATCAATGTTCAAAATATTGAATTTTATATATATGATGTCGCCTTTTATATTACAATCCTTCTCAGTTTTTCTAGCTTTCTTCTATTTTCAAATTCTCATTGATTATTTTTTTATTCTATCCTTTTTAATTTCACTTAATATTGTCAAAAATTTTATAATTATTTTGTGTAACCATTGCTTATATTTTTCTTCTTCTTTTTAAAAGAAGAAATTCATAATAAAATATTGTTTATTACCTACTCACCTTTTCTTCGCGAATTCTCTGATGCAGTTCGTCCATTCTATGGGTTTCTACTTCCACATCTTCTCTCTCTACCTTTATTGCTTCTTCATCATGATATTGCTTGAATTGCAGTTCGTTATATCTAATCTTCACCAACATTTTATCAACTATCTTACGAGACCCCATAATTCTATTTTTTAAGTTTCGCACATCACACAGTTTCCTCAACATCTGTTTCTCATAACGCGACTGATCCAGCACTTGTTTTCCGAGAGCTTCGTCAAAAGCTCTGTCCTGTTTCTTCAGTAATCGTTCCCAAGCCTCTATCATCATCGTTGTTTGTGTTTTCAGTTTCAATTCGTGACACTTAGTCGTTTTCTTGCTACGCTTCTTCAAGAAATCGATATATTCCGCAGCAGCTGTGGGATCTTCGATACAGGACACATCCAAGATTCTTTTCGAAGGACAACACTCGACTTGGTATTTTTTTGTCTTATAAACCGGATGTTTGCGAGTGAATTCGTCCAGTATTTTGCTCTGTTTCTGTTTTTTATCCGGCAACTCTTCTGGAACAAAGTATTCAATCGGCTCTATCACTGGATATTCCATGAGGGCTTCAAATCGCTCTCGTTCTCGTCTACAGGCTTTCGTGATCGCACAAAACTTATTTCTGTGCCAGAGGATAGTATCGACTGCCTCAATCAATGGTGCTGATAGAAAATGTTCAGGTGGTATATAAGCAATTGGAGCTTCAGATACTTTGGATACTTTGAATCTAGTATATATTTTGTACTTTTCCTCTTTCTGAAGAGCAATAAAATACAATAGGTCCTTGCCTTCGATGCTCAAATATACCTTATAGAACAGCTGGAGAGATGTAGCACCTTTATCCTAAAGTGTCATTCTTATACAAATATATGACATAATGTATAATATCATAAAAAAATATGTAAATTAATAGAAATTTGTCTATAATAAAAAAAATATTTGTTTTTAATATAGCTTTTTTTCCAAATAATAATGTTTACTTTAAAAAACTTAAAATTGAAACTAAAAAGTTTTTGATTTGAAAAATTGTTTAAATGTTTTTTCCTTATCCTATTAAATTTTTTAAATCTATTATTTATTGTACTATTTCTTTTGTAAGAGTACTTTAGAGATGTCCTCAATGCACTTCTCGCTCAGCGTGACATTGATGAGCTTTAGCCAGATTCGTAAGGACCTCAGGTTCACTCTGCACAAGGCAGGATCTCGTGTAGAAACAATGGTGCTTAGTTGATGGTAATTGATTATATCATAGCTATGCAGAATTTGGGCCAGTAGTGTGCCGTCTCTCGTGTACCGACCAAACGTCTCCGGCGTGAGATCGATCATTATACCTAATCTTGTACGCAGCCATGAGTTCAACACATCGGTCATTTGTAGGAATTTAGTGAGTTCGTATAATTTCGAATGTCTTGGGCCCAAAAGTCGTGCTTTCGACGTTGATGACGTGATCCAGACATTGCGACTTGACAACTGTAATTGTATGAAATTAGCATCGTATACACGTCGCCATCTGAGAATTGAATGTCAAATTTCTCATGGTGGAATTTGATTCCATGAAATTTTTCGCCGGAAAGGATGAAAAATAAATCATGATATAAAGACAAGCGTATACTCATACTGTATCAGACAATTGGGCATTCCCATCATTTTTGTGTAAGTTTATGTTATATATGCATATGTGTAATCATTAATCAAGGCTTAAATTTGATTGTTTATAGTTTACAATTATTGCAAGGAAGGCAAAGAACTGGTAAGTATGAAACAAAACCAAATGAAATTTTATATACGTGAATATAAATACACACACACACACACACACACACACACACACACACACACACACACACACATATTTTATACATATGTATATACATAGATTTTATAAAGATAACAGAGATTTGATAAAGAACTTTAAGTCTGTATTAGACTACCGATTCTGCAGATAAACTCGACTATCAATTAAAAACCAGAATGACCTAATTATAATTAACAAAAAGTTGACTGACTGTAATTGATTCACTATGGATTGGCAATCAGAATCATGGTGGAATTAAATATTTCATCATAGTCAGAATTGGCAGTCGAACAGCCTGCCAAGTCAATCTGATATGGAGGATTTTAAAATAAATAACTCCGATGGAACCCGGCCATTTATTATTCAATAGGACTTACACACATACAATTTAAGTGTCATCGATACATACTATTATATCAATATTTCACGTATAAATATATATAAATTTTCATAAAACAATAACGTATAGAATTAGACATGTAACTCTAATTCCAAGAACATGATGATAGTGATGTATTCTACTAGTTAATTTCCAACTTTGTAAATTGTAAGTACAGATTGCAGAGCTATATATTATTACTTATTAAACAAATGTTGTCACAACTTGACAGTTCTAGAGAATGATCAATATGAATTGAACAATAATTTATTTTTCTGTTAATATCCAAAAATTCACTAATCGATATTTCATATTTACAAAAATTGTATTAATAAAGATTGCCAACAAAAAATTACATCTAGAAATTTTATTTTATTGAATAGCAACAGCTTTAAACACAAAAAAATATACCCTCTCTTTCTTCAAACTCGAATTATCGTCTTTTCTGAAAAGTGTAAAATGTATTCTTTTCACGTGATTCAGAAATGATAACACAAAGATTTACAACATTGAAAAAACATTTATAAGTACATCAACATTTAACAACGCAATATCTCAGCAACGTTCTTTCAACGTTCTGTCAGTTCTGTGCTAAAATTACAAAATATATGTGTGTGAAAAAAGCTTTTAAATAGCTTAAAAATTTATAAAGCTTTTAAAAGCTTATTTAAAAGATAAAAAATAGAAATACTAAGATGAGCAGCAAAATCCTGCACAAAAGCGCTTTATTATTATATATGATATATATCAGCGGCAGCTTTTCATATATTAGATAAACTATTTTAGACGACAAGTGAGATTCAAATTGTACAGCTCTACTCAATAATCAATACAGCTCTATTTATATTACTTATATTTTTTTTTAATGATTAAAAACTTTCTTGTTTTTCTTTACATAGTAATACAATTTTGGTTTTAATTGAATATCATCATATACCAATAATTTATTGGTAAATACTATTGGTAAGTACTATACAGAGAACCGCCGCTGATATATATCATATAATAGAACGCTTTTGTGCAAACAGGATTTTGCCGCTCGTTTTAGTATTTCTATTTTTCAATCTTTTAAATAAGTTATTTTTTTAAATAATTGGGCTCCAAATAATCCTTGCTTCCGATCGAAATTTAGAGGTTGTTTTCAATATGAGAAATATAAAGTATTTATTTTTATTACGTACGACGTTTGATAGTTAAGCAGATTCAACTATACTCATATCAATATTTATATTCTGTCAAAAAACTGTACCTCTATTTTCTATAAGCAGTTTTTACAAAAGCATCTAGAATCAATTTTATCTTTGGTCATTATAAACTATTTTGTGTTACGAAATATTCGTGACTAATGCTTATGGAAGATTCAAAATTTGTTTGAATGAAAATTTGTTTCTTTACTACATGATAACGAAAGAAAGGCTTAGAGTAATGTTTATTATATATAATTATTGAACAATAATTGCATTTCATGATAAATATTCGTCTTGTGTAATGTTTATAGACATTACACAAGAATAAAAGGAACACTCAATACATCACAGTACCATGCGTAATATAAATTTAGCTTTAGAGCCTCTTCGGGAAGCAGAGACTCGCTTATGTTTTTTGTATTTGGTAGTAGTTTGCATTCTTATTCTTTAGAGTTTGTCAACACTCGAGGGAACTTACAGTTTAACGCCGAATCTGAATGGCGAACGCGAAAAATCGCGTATATGAAACGCAAGTGGAATCGAACCAGGATCTACAGATCATAAATCAATCGCACTGAGCGGCGATTCTTCTCGGCGCCCCGTGTTACTCTTGTGTTATATTTTATTAATTATTGACAATATATAAACGAGCTGAATATTATGAAATGTTTAAACTTTTAGTTTAAATCTATTTTGTAACTTATGTAATATTATACAAGAATATTATTACAATTCTTCTGGATGTAATTTTGCAAACATTTTATATTAATATATTTCTTAAATTAAGGTGTTAAATTGACAGTTATTCAACAAGTGATATTCGAACAGATATTATAACTTAAGTATAATTTGAGACGTACAAATGAAAATGTAAATTAAGTAATTTAAAGAGAGCCAGCAAGTATAATATTTATTTCTTCTAGAAATAAATTAAAATATGAATGTAAATTCATAACATAAGAAATAGTTGAAATCAATTAAAGGAAAAAAATACGTTAGATAAGCAACTGTATATACATCAATTACAGATAATAAAAAATTAATATAAATTATTAATTTTTTGCGTAAAACAAGGATAGTATTAGTTTCTAATATAAACATCAAATAAACA